CTATCTATCTATCTATCTATCTATCTATCTATCTATCTATCTATCTATCTATCTATCTATCTATCTATCTATCTATCAGTGATCACGTTGTTTTGAGCACAGTCAGTAAAATTGTAGCTGTGGACTCTTAACTTTGAACAGACAATAATGTGGGGTTTTGTTTTGTCCCCACCTTCAGTTATTCCCACCATAAAGCAGCACAAGGCTGACAGATGGTAAAAAAAATAACTGGAGTGATTTTGAATCATTTTATACTTTAAAAGTACATTTTGTTTTTATTATGTTATATTTTCAGGGTATTGTAATTTATTTTAGTTATTAAATTGTAAAATGTTCTTCAGTTTAAAATGTAGGCCTATGTGATCCATTGGTTAAAAATAAATGGGTCAGTTTTTCTCATACCTACTCTTTTTCACTGTTTGACCTGATCAAGACTTTTCTAAGATTTTACACTACAAAATAGGTAAAAGTGTGTGACTTGTACTGTTTTGGTAACGGGTCAATATCGGTATCGGTCAATATCGGTATCGGATAATTCTCAAAGTGGCAATATCGGTATCGTATTGGAAGTGAAAAAGTTGTATCGGGACATCCCTAGCAGCAAGTCCAGACCCTTGTATGAAGCAAAGTGAAGGACAAGGGTCTGGTTTTTACCAGGCTAGTGCATTTGGGGACAAAAGTCGAGTCCCCATTTGGTTTAAATGCATTGGTGGGTTGGGGGTTGGGTTTAGGACCAAGGTGTGAATTGAGTTTAGGTTAGTTTTAGGGTCAGGTAGGTACCTGTGAGGTTAGCCTTAGGGTTTGTGGTCAGGGTTAGGCTGTAGAAATGTGATGGAAGTCAATGGAATGTCCCCAAATGTATAGCTGGGAGATCCTGTGCGTTTGTTTGTGTGTGTGTGTGTGTGTGTGGGGTGGGGGGTGGGGGGGTGGTATCTTTAAGGCTATGTCCAGAACATGGTTGCCATATTTAAAGCCACCATATTGCATTAGTCTAACTTTTCCAGTGGAAAGGTGATCATTTAGCATATAAAAGAAGACCAGAATTGTCTCACAGATAGGTAGATTGCTGCAATCAGATGTGTAATATCCTAAGTTTTAAAGTTACGATGCACAGCTATTTGACTTTATCAACGTGCTGTCCCTGGTGCTGAAACACACAGCTTACTAATGACAAACAACAAAAGTTTGAACTTTGTGTTGATAACTCTTGAACCACAACAGACAATCTTGTCTGATTGTATCATTCCATTTCTGAGATAACTCTGATCTTGTTTGGTGTGCTACATGTCCACTTTCCTATAGGAAAAATTCGACTTTGATCAAATATGGCGGCTTTCAAGATGGCTGCCATGTTCTAGAAATAGCCTAAAAGCCAGTACCCCTCACCCATTACTTGCTGAGGTATTCAGATATTTCATTTTCTCTTTCATTTCTGAAATAAAAGGGTGTCCTGATACTTTTGCCTCATCCTATATGTACAGTACACACACATAATAATATGTTAGAAAGGAACAAAAAACCCAGCTATCGTAAAATAAAATGGAACATCACTTGCACCTCTTTGCATAATTCAGGTGTTGATGTAGGTTTGTTGCTATAAAAGCAGAAATATTTCGAAGTGAGAAATTGGCCTTTCATGTCTGAAAGGTGAACCCACATAATGGAAGCTAAAGAACTCCTGCATTCTTAATGAGATCTAATGGAATTAAGAGGTCTCGTAAACCTGGGTTATAACGGGTCAGGCTGAGAGGTGAGATTATGGTGTGGAGCTAATTGATGATTATGCGGAACAGAGAATTTTATGGAGCCTTTTTACAGAACCTCTCAGGTAAAACCACTCATTTGAAGCTGATGTATAAGTAGTTTTTACAAACCACCAAATTAAAACTATTCCTTTAAAAGTAGAGAAGTCCATAAAAAACAACACGCACCCAGCCAGCAGAGTCTGCGGTGTCGGCGAGGGTCCGTTCAGCGTGTACACTCCTAAACTGGAAATCCCGCTGGTCCCGACACTTCCGGACAGGCCAGCGCTCCTCTCCCCGTAGCCCAGGGCCAGACTCTGGGGTCGGGTGCAGTAAAACGGGGTGGAGTGAGCGTCCCTGGGGAGGGCCTGTGCAAACAGTGCCCCGTAGTTCCCGACCTGAGGAGGACGGTTGGAGAGATTTTCAAAAACAAATTCATCAAAAATGAATCCATTCAAGCCTGTTTTTGAACCCTCACCCTGCTGGACGGTTTGCGGGGGTCTTCAGAGAGGCTGAGCAGCAGGTAGAGAACCGACCAGCGATGCTTCAGAACGCTCTGACAAACCAGTGACAGGAGGAACACAAAACGCAACGAAGAATTTTAATAAGCAAACGATGAAAAATAACTTGTAACGTGAAATACTCAACCTGAAGTGATTAATTCTGACCAATCACAGCCGATAAACACAAACACCCACCTGTGTCTGAAGCTTTCTGTGCAGCTCTGAGAACAAAGCAGCATCTGCTTCTCTCCTCTGCCTCAACACTGCAACATAAAAACCTACAGTTAGCTTGTGCATGCAGCCTTCATTACTTTAACTTTCAAAACATTCATATTTCAAATGAATTTGAAGGAATTATAGACCTTTTTGCTTACATTTGTTACAAGTCAGTCAAACTCCCAGCTAGTATCTAAAGCTGCATGACTAATAGCACCTCAGTGTAATCCAAGTTAACCTTATTCAACAACTGGTCTATAAATGTAGTCATCTTTATACTGTTACACTACTACTTGTATTATCAGCTATCAATGTTGCTAACAACGGTATCATCTCAGTCAGTTTGCTAGAATAAAAAGGGTTTCCAGCATCAAAATGAACAACAGTAATGATATTTGCTCTGAGGGAAGTTTGCAAAACTATATAATTCAGGGTCACAAGCTTCTGCTGCTGCCATCGCTCCGGGTTAGTTAAAAAAACAAAAACAAAACAAAACACACTTACGCTCCTTTTTGATTTTCTCTGACACCAGGAACTCGTCCCGTTCAATAGTGGGGGCATAGTTGCTGCCGATGACTCGCACCGCATACTGGAACTGGTGGGCAACTTCAGCTGGAAAAATAAAGAAATAACAAAATATAAAAGGACGAAACTGACAGCACGTTCACAAGAGACAAGATTAATAACATAGACTTTTTCTTTCTAGTTTTCAAAACTATCCATCATAAGTCCAGTTTTTTAGACTATATTGCACCTAAAAATGTAATTATTAAGCATTTAGAAAGACTGAATTCGTGTTGTGCTTGCTAAAAAAAATAACGTTTTTGACATCAAAGCCAAAAATGAGAACATTTGATATCTTTGGCCTGAGAGTGAGGGCCACAATCATCAGGCCTAACAGATGGAAAAACCTCAACATCATGTCCATTATTCACCATTCTTCGATGGTAACCCTGGTTTGGAGTGTTTGGTTTCCTGAAGGGGTCAGATTAATGTGCATCCAGAAGCCGTATTGATTCGCATGTGAGCTAAGTGGCTAACAGGCTCGCGGAGGGTTGAAATGAGCTGCTAGCGTGTTCAGAAACCCAAACAGAACTGCTGTTTGTAGAGCAGGATGTGCAGCATCGAGTAGAGCCGATTCGCCTGACAGCTGGGATGAATGGGCCCCGCTACGTAACGGGTTCGTGGCGTCTGTCCAACACGGCTACATAAAGAGAAACAGTACAACTTTTATCTAAACCAATCATTTTAACAGYGTTTTTTCCCCTTCGGAACGCTAGATGAGAATGAATAAAAAAACTGTACATAATACAGCTGTGGTCCTAAGAGCTAAGAGGCGGTTACCGCTAGAAAACCATTTCTCCGCTGCAAAACTCACAATTTGTTGAAAACGGTTAAATAAATGACCGATTCATTAGCTTTCGTATAATAATTTCACGCCGAATTTGCTAACCACCTTTAAAGCCTCAGACTGTATATTTATAGTACGCATAAAATATGCCACAATGTCAATGCAAATACAGAAAAATAAAAAATACGATATTTATAAACGAGGTTTGGTTCGGGGATTCCTGAATTCTATATTGCTGGCGCTGTCGGGTTAGCACTGATCTTACCTTCGCTTTTCCCCGTTATCCTGCAACAGAGGCTCTGCAGAAGAACGTTAGGCGATTTCTGATCCAAGCTCGCCATGATGTCTGCAGTCACCGTCAAGACTGTCCCCCGATAAATAAATAAATGCTGTAGAAGAATACGAACTAACTACAGCTTTCCGCCACTAGCGACGCCATTTTGGCAAACTGAGGCAAGCTAGAACGACGCAGGAAGGATGGGACCGGAACTAGCGTCAATATTCTTCCAAAGTAAGAGCACCGAATGAACAACATAACAATCCTTTACAAACGTCATACAACTTTAAAATGGATCCAAATGTCATGAAGAACACAAAGACTAAGCAAAGCAGCTAGTTAAGACACTTACACATGATAAGCCAGTTAAAAACAAATTATGAATAAAGCTGTTCAATAGTTCTTAAACAATTTAAAATGCATTAGGGAAAAAAACATGAACTAATGCTGAACTTAAATATAACACATCTGCAACGTGCCCAGATGGACACAATCACAAATTATTTCTGGTTTGTGCTTTTATTTTAAATCAGATCTAAGTTGTGTAGGTTTTTGTAGGACATGCAAAATCTACCCAGAACGATCACCAGCTAGAATTCGATCCAACAACCTTCTTGCTGAGAGGCAACAGCAGTTATTGTTATGTGTGAAAGTTGACGAGGGTCAATTATTTTCTCCTGGTTAGTTTTGTATTTTAAGACCGGTCAAAGAACAAAAATTAAACCAAACAATTTTAAATAATCTTTAACAAGACAAAGACAAATTCTTACTCAAAGTTGAACAAGCTTGAGCGAGAGTTAAAGAAAATAAACATACAGAATGGGCCAAAACAAAAAAGGAACAAACATTTTATCTGTCTCTGAGTCACTATGTTTTTTAGTAAGAAAAGTACATTTCTTGAGGGATTTGTTTTATTGTGAAAGTAACAACAGGAAACAATTATTATAACTATTGCTGGCTTTATTTTAATGATTTAACTGTACCCGCCGAAAGCAAAGCGTCTCCAGGAAACAAGCAACGGACAAACCCATGAAAATATTTCCCTTCTGAAACAAAGCAGATTGATCTTCAGTTCCGGGCTGCCTGGTGCAACTCCTCATTTCACAAACGGTCTCATTGCATTTCATTGTTATATTTTAACCATGAAGATCAAATAGTTTATAGAATAACATTTACAGCAGCGCAAATTTACACAATAAATAGCCAAACATAAAGAAACTGTGCTTCTTTTGGTCAATTTTATCCCTAAAAAAGCCCCTAAAGCGCTTTTCACTTAATGACACTGTACTGCAGTTAAATCAACATACATCAAATAAAAGTGGAAGAAATAAGTAGAGAGGCTAAACAAATAAATAAATAAATAAATAAATAAATAAATAAATAAATAAATAAATAAATAAATAAGATAATACAAAAGTAAAAACAATAGCCTAACAAAGTCACCCAAAATATAGTCATATCTATCCAGAACCTTTTAATAATATATTACAAAGTAAAATGTTAACGACTAACAATGATTTCTAATAGACTTTTGATCGATTAATTTGACCTAATATTTATTAGCGCCCGTCCCACCCGGTCTACAATCCGGTATCTTAATTAACCAGAAACAATTAATTGCTTCCAAAAACCACCACAGAGCGCATGCGCGCACCTCCAGCCGGAGGAGCCAGCACCACCTGGCTGCGCGTGACGTACCAGTGCGTGAAAGCAAATCTCTTTTGGCAGCGGGGCGGCGCGAGACAAGAAGATTATTGAGTCCTCGTGCACATGAGTGTCGGACCGTGGGAGAAAAAGCCCACTTCTCCCCCTGATGAACACCGATAAAGTGCAATAAAGAAGGCGCACACCGAGCCTCTTTCTGGAGCTGAGGACCGGTCTGCGAAGGTGGGAACAGGTCAGGAGCAGCTGCCTTTTTTTTTTTTTTATGTCCGACCAAGCCCCTTTTTTTACTTCAGGAAGAAAACAACAAGGAGGAGAAGAAGAAAACATGTCCAAAAGAAACACAGCGGCTGAGCTTTTCAGATAAACAGGCTGAGGAGGAAGAAGTGTCGGCAGAGGAAACAGGATGGGGATGGATTTCAGCACTCTTCGGACTCTCATCAGCCGATATGTGAGTTCAGTTGGTCTCACACAACAAACCACAGAGACAACAACACGCCTTTTTCTCCAACACTAATTCTTTTACATTCAGCCGAAGCAGTCATTCCTCCACTTTGAAGTTTCACTCAGAGGAGGGCGTAATCTCAGGTCTCTGAAGCAAAAGCAAAAAAGATTAAATCATAGTTTTTGCTCCAACAGGAAGAAACAAATTATGTCAACTGTTTACAAATGTTGACCAGTTTAAACAACCTACAACCAAACTACATAATTTGTTATTTGCAGGGATAAAAACATGACAAAAAATGCGATTTGACCGGTCTTATTTATATGTGGGGTTCTAAATGGGGAATTATAT